ATAGTCATGGCAATGACCCCACTTCTGTTTCCAAGTTCTGTCTGGGTTACTTTTCTCTTGTTGCTGGAACAAAATACCTGTCACCCAAAATGAGGGGAGGGAAGGAAAAGTTTGTTTAGCTTGTAGTTTTTGGAGGTTTCAGTGCAAAATCAGCTGGCTCCAAGCAAGGGTGGCGTAGCATGGGGCCAACAATCAAGGCAGTAGCCAGCGTCAAGGGGGAACAAGGGTCTTCTCCTCCCTCACATTATACCCCCCGCCCCGGGAAGGTGTAGCACTCACAGAATCTGTGCCCTCTTGCACAGGGCGATACTTACCAAAAAGGATCCTGGTGCTCTGCTGAGTCCTTAAACTTCTAACCATCTCAAGTTGACACAATGTATCAACCATATTATGAGTTCAAAGCCAGCCTGGGCTACATAGTAGGAGCCTGTCTCAAAAATCAAGTGTTGCATAGTGTCTAGGTAGGCATTTTCTTGCTCCATCCTGCCACCGGTGGGAACTTGGGTCCATTTCATATCTTGGCCATTTTGAATAGTGCTGTAGTGTAGCCGGTGATGCAGATGTCTCTGATTTCAATCCCCTTGGCTAAACACACAGTAGTGGGGTTGTTGATCACACACTAGTTCTTTTAATTTTTTACTGTTCCATGCTGTTCTGATTTTATCACCAACAGCACACACGGGTTTTCTTCACATCCTCTCCAATGCATATTTTCCATTCTATTGATAACAGGCATTCTGACAAGTGAGGTTTTTTTTTTTTTTTTTTTTTTGGATGGAACTCACAACCTCACACTTGCCAGGCAGGTGCTTACGCTGCTGAGCTCAATCCTCAGCCTGACAAGGGTGATCTTATTGTGGTATTAATTTGCATCTCTCTAATGATTAGTGATGTTGAACATTTATTCATGTACCTATTGGCCATTTATGTCACTTGAGAAATGTCTATTTGGAGACCTGCCCATTTATATCCATTTTTGCTTTTCTTACTATTAAGTTCATTATGTGTTTTGGCTATTAGACCCTCATCAGATACCTGCTTTTCTCCTACTTCATAGTGTCTCTCCTCTCTACTGGTTCCTTTGCTGTCTAGAAACTGGTTTGATGTAATTCTATCTGTAAGGTGTTAAACAATAGTGAGTTAAAAAAAACTTTATAGTAAACATTGCCATTAATCCCCCTCAAAATACTCTTCAGTTCAAACCCTTGTTGTTGTGAAATATTTTTGCATCTATGAATGTGATCACAGTGATTCTTTGGACTGTTGTATCGATACGCCAATGTCCTGATTCTCAGCCCGGCAATCTGAGAGAAATCCTGCCCAGTTGTGGTGTATTCCTTTTTATTGCAGTGTTCACTTCTGTCCACCACTCTTATGCAGGTTTCTGTCTTCATGTCATGACACTGATGAGCATGATCTATTACTGCCTTTACCTGACTTGTCTGATTTGGTTTGGGACAATGTTGGCCGCACAGAGTGGCACAAAGTATTCTCTGATTCTACCTTCTGGGAGAGCATAGAAAATTGATAACATTTTTTTCTTAAATGTTTGAATTCACCAGCAAACCTACCTGGCCTTTTTTTTTTTCCCTTCAAGGTGACTGATTAAACTTCTTTAATAAATACAGTCCTATGAAGACTATTTCTCCTTGTGTGTGTTTTGGTGGATTTTGTTTTCAAAGTATTGATCCATTTTATCTAAGTCACTGAATCTGGGGGCATGGAGATAGCACACTCGTCCACTGCCTGGGGTCAGCAGTAGTGGCCCCTGTCACTTCTGCCAGGCTGCTTCTTAGTGTTACAGGTATGTTTGCAGACGTCCAGGCGCTTTCTAGATGTTGCTAAGGCTGCTGATGTCTATCCAGTTCCCCTCCAAACCCTGACCTCTTGTTCTACTGACCCTCTGAATCAACCCTGCTGCTTATGTGTTAAGGAAGCTCGGCGCACCTGAAAACACAGCACAGCCAACTCCCCAAGTCCCATCTGCAGCTTCTAATCCCCGGTTAGCTGTTCTGGGGACGCTGGGCAGAGGAAAGTTCTCGCCATTATTGGCTGAGTATAAACTGTCTTTGTCAGGAGAAATGTGGCTTTTGGGTTGTGTGCTTGAAGGAATAATTTCAAAACTGCATTGTGCAATACAAGTTAGCATTCTAAAAAACTAGAGAAAGGGTAGTCTGTGCAGAGAGCCCAGACAAGTCAGTATAGGATGAACAAAATATGAATTTGTATTTTGTGGTTTTAGTGAGATGGAAAGCTGCATAGATTTTCGTTGTGCAGAGAGAGCCCAGACAAGTCAGTAGAGGATGAACAAAATATGAATTTGTATTTTGTGGTTTTAGTGAAGATGGAAAGCTGCATGGATTTTCATGACAAAAAAGAAAAAAAAAGCTGATTCAACCGTTTTGTGCACAGCTCCAGTTACAAATGTGGCCATGAACACAGCTTTATAATTAACTCGCCCTTTAATACTTTGGACTTGTGGCGCACAATGGACTCAGGGCTCCTGGCTCACAGGCGGTGCTGCAGTCATCCACCTGCGTGCCCTGAGCCTGCCAGCCCCAAAGCTGGCCCTGGCCCTGATGGAGCGACTCCCTCCCAGGCCGGCCGCCTCCTGTCATGGGGCGCTGCTCCAGGTTTGGCTACTAGCCTTTTAAAGAGGTGCAGGTTTCAGTGATTGTGGATGGATTTCCAAGCTTTCTGCTCCCCAAGTGCAGGGGATTAAATGCGGGGTGCTGCCAGATAAGCACCGTACCTGGAGCTGCACCCCTGCCTTTGGACATTTTACTGATACCGTTTTAACTCTATTTTTAAAAAAATTTACCTAGTCCAAAGTGAAGTCAATTTGACACACTTTGAACCATTGCGTGAGAAACTGCAAATGTAAATAAGGACCAAAATGATGACAGATATTGAAAAGCAGGAAAAAATCATTCAAATGGGAAGAGAAACAGGGAGGGAGCAGGAGAAAGGAAAGAAAAAGGAAAAAACCCCGAAACAAGGAAAAGATGAAACAAAGCTTCTGTAAATGAGGAGGGAGACAGCTGAAGGGCGGGCAGGGGGTGGGAGATCAAGAACCCAGATACACGCAGGACCAGTTTCCTCTGAGGAGTGCGGTCACTATGTGACAAGAAGAACACCAATCAAGTTAATTTAAAAAATAAAATATACCCTATTTCGGCATTACTTTTTAGCACCTATTAAAAATAAGCATAGAAGTAGAGACAGACGATTGTTAACAGTCCCACACTCATTCTGATTCAGAAGAATTTCTATTAATCATGAATGGTATTTGACTCTACTAAACTACCTGAATCTATTACAAAGGTTGTGATCGTTTACTTGTTTTAATCTGTTAGTGATCAATTACATCTGTAGATTTTAATACTAAACATCTTTATACATCAGTATAGAACGTGTATGTAAAGCAGTAAGTAAATCACTTCAAACTGAGAAAGATGTATTCTAAAGTCCTGCCTTCATTGTGTTATGTAATGTTTCATGGTTGGTACCTTCCCTGGAAGACACGGCCTCACAAAAGAGGCAGAACTGAGGTCCGTGTCTCTCACCACACCAAAGTAAAATCGAAATGCATCAAAGGTCCACACATAAAAACAAATACTAAATCTGCTGGAAGAGAGAACAGGTGAAGCACTGGCAGATAAAAATGTAGGCAAAGATTTCTGAACAAAACAGCCACTACACAGGAAATATTACAAAGAACTGGGACCACATCAAATTAAGGCTTTGCCTAGCAAAAGCAAGCATGAGCAGAGCAAAGAGAGCCCACCAAATGGGGAAAATTTTTACCAGCTACTCCTCAAAGGACTAACACCCAGAATATGTAACAAACTCGGAAAAGTCAGACTTCCCTAACTTCATTTCTTTGGATCAGCTATTCCCCTTCTGGGCATCTTCTCAAGTGAGTCAACAGCATCTTGTGCACAGTGATGTTTGCACACCTATGTTAACAGCAGCGCGTTTCTAGTTAAATCTCAGAAACAGTTCATACGCTCATCGACCGAGGATGGACAAAGAAAGATGATGTTTACATACAATGGAACACTACTCTGTCATAAAGAAGCAGCAGCCTGAGTCAGCCGTAGGAAAACAGATGTACCTCCAGACCATAATTTTAAGTGAAATAAGTAAGACACACAAGTTTAAATACTGCTATGTGAGTGAGTTTACGGCCAGCCCATTCTGCATAGCAAGACCCGGTCAATAAAGAAAAAAGGAAGTAATGCAATGTTCTCTTGTGTGAGAAGCCCTATGAGGTAAGATGGAGACAGATGCTGGGGACAGCAAGAACACATTTAAATAGGAGCAGGGGGAGGGGAAAGGATTTAAAAACAGAATGGAAGAGAAGAATGGAAAGGGAGCTTCTGTACATGGGGTGGGAGGAAGGGCTGGAGGGAGGGAGGGCGATGGGAAGAGAATCAAGTACTGTGCGCGTGGCTACGTACTTCCTGTAATGCACATGAGCACTACGTGTGGCAAATATATATTAGTAACTTTTTCTAAAAACTAATTTTTAAAAAAATTTCATGTTTGAAAAAGGATGGCAGGTAGGTAAGTCTGGAAACACAGAAAAAACTCTATAGACTTCCACAATTTCCCAACTGCACTGTTCTTCAAATTATGCTTTTTTCGATTTCTTTAATCCCACAAGAAAAAGCCGCTTTTACTAGACATTAATTCGGTGTGACACAGTGCAGAACAGAGAACAAACAAGGGATAGAGAATATGACATCAAATGACAGAATGTTATTCTTGCCTTTGAGAAACACAGAGGTCTCTAACTCACAGGAGTATAAAGATATATCAGTACAAACGAGTCACAAATAGAGGTGGAAAGCAACTGCAGTGCTCTCACCAAATTTGCAAACAGAAAACCGGAAGTTTAAAAAGACGAAACAAGGGCTGAGTGTTTACCTGTCACGTGAGGCCCTGGGCTCATTCCCAGAGCGGGAAGAGGGGGAAGACAAAAAGCGACACAAGGGAACAGCCTGGCTTTCCTTTTTATTTAATCAAAGACTGGTAGATAAACATAAATACAGCACAATTACTTCAGATCATTCTTCGTATTTTACACACAGACCATTGAGTGAGATCTGAAAGAGACCTGCGGTCAGCAGTGAAATGCACACAGCACTTTCCTCCCTTGCTCAAGAAAAGAAAAAAACAACAAACTAAAACAAAAACTTAGAATCTGATCAGCACACACTCTCCTGTGACAAATGATTCAGACATAAATAGTGGGTGCAAAGAAACTATATGCTAACTTATATATAACCTTTGTTAATGAAAAAACAGAAGCAGCCATAATGATTAAGATACATTCAGTTACTGGTAACTAGTTGTGCCTGAAAGGGCATCATCAGAAGAGAAATCGTGCTGCAGAGAAAAGCTATATATACATAACAATGAGAAAATAAACTGCAAGGTTAACGCATGCATGTTTAATACTGGAAAAATCACAGCCCTCCAAAATTTCTCCAGGTTATAAAAGCCCTCTGCACTCAACTAAAATTAAAATGATCTTAAAACGATAATACTTGTAAAGTTTAAGTCTTTTCAGCCACAAAACTGCAATGGAAATAAATGTTCAGAGTCATTTTCAAAACAAAAACAAAAATCTATTCTTCTGATGACATGCATGATTAAAAGGTCTATGCAAGATACATTGCTCTACATTCCCAGTGACTAGGAAAAAAAACCTCAAGTCAATTTTTAGTTTGCAGATGGTCAAAGGATTTTGTATTCCAGCAGGAGTTCAAATCTTCTGTATTTTTTCACCAACAACTACTGGATTTTCTTTTCTGATTTTCTCAGCAGCATCAGCTTTGTAATTGTAAGAGCAATTATGCACATCTGAGTAACGGTGTACACCACAGTAAACATTTCCACAGCGGCATTCGAACCCTGGAAAGGGATTCAGACACAAGTGTGAGTTGGGTGGCAGGACAAAATACCACGTTCTTTGGCATAATTGTTAAACAGCACAGTTGTATTAGGGCAGCAATCTAAGAATTATTCCAAATAAACAGTATGACAAGCTACACTTCCATAGTTCACAGAGTTTCATTTCTTGTTCTAGCTACAATCCAAGACTTGCACTAGAGCTAGTAACAATTACTTCCTTCCAAAAACCGGGTTGCTAAACTGCAAATGTGAAAATGCTTTAAAAATCAAAACTGAATGTCAAGTTAAGCATACTATCAGAAGGCTATCTTAACATTTAAGAAAGATCAAAATAAAACCTCTGAAAGAACTGTTAATAACAGTTTCAAAAACAAACTCTTCCCCCCAAAAAAATCCAGCACAGGCCAGCATGCCCATCAGCTTCCTTCGCTACCTCTGGAGATGTGGACGGACCTGGGAGCGGGGCCTACGCGGATGAAGTCCAGAGCTGGGTTCCTGTCTCCATCTGCTCACTAACGCAGGCAGCCTGCCTAGCCACTCCGAGCCTCCGCGTCTGCAACTGTACTTCTGGAACACTAATTGTTCGATTTTAGTAAACACACGACAAATGCTCTTAATTTTGGGGAGTTGCCAAAGAACTGAAGCCAGAATAGAGATTCACAGGTGTGCATAGTGCCAGTCCCTTGAATTGAGGTTTTACGGTACGTACGGGTTTTGGAACTGTCGCTTAGGAATCAGTATTTTACAGATGACCTGGTGTACATTATTTTACTTCATGAAACAAAAAAAAAAATGAAACAATAGTAGATTGGACTGTCAGATTGGGCAAGAAAATTACTAAGACTCAGCTAATAATCACAAAGTCTGAGAGTTTGAAAAGATTCCATTTGATATGAAATATGCGTACCCTAGGATGTCAGGCCAGCGTGTGCCTCAGTGACAGAGTGCTTGCCTAGCGTGTGCAAGGCCGTGAGTTTGATCCCCAGCACCACAAAAATAAATGAATGAATAATAAGTAAATGAATAAAAAATACATATAACATTTTATCCATATATATATATAAAATATATGGGCCAGTTTAAAACATCTTGGCATTCGACTCATCTCTTTTGCTCTTTATCTCCAATCCATTCCTAAACTGAAGTAATCCTCATCCTAAAGCACAATTTTTGCTCAAAATTTTCTTTACTCCTCTCGGTCTGTAAGTGAGATTTCCTGTGAAGTCCTCAGCCCATGCGTGGCCACAATAAACAGTAGCCCCCCTCTGTCCACCAAGCCCAGCACATCCAACCTCAGCGGGGCCCCGCACGCTCCTCGCAGACTCTGGGCCACAGCTTCGTCCCCTCCCTCACGGGCCTGAACACCCACTCTTCCCCTTCTCAGGGCTTCGCTTCGAGCTTGACTTCTGCCTGAAGTGCTATTCCCACCAACTGTGACCGAGCCCCAGCCGAAGCACCTTGCTGCGTGCTTTCCTTGGAGCTAGGGCTCCGGTTCCCTCCTCTATGTAAACAGCGCCCGCACTCCCGCTCCTGAGCTCCGAAGGCAGTCTGCACTTGACCAAGTTCTCAGCTCGACGCTTCCACACGTATTTCTCTCTCTCTTAACAGTACTATCTGAGAGCTGCCTCACAGCAGCTATCTATGCTGCTGACTGTGAGAAGGCACCAACCGCTTACAAGCTGTAACTCGGGGAGCCTACAGTCTCTGATTAACTTCACTTTACATACAGAAAGCACTTTGCAGCTGATCCAGGACTTGGCGTTTGCTTTCCTGGAAGGCAGGTGCTACGGATCTCCCCTTTCACAGCGCTTGGCACACTGACCTGCTTGTCTAGAGCTGTCCAACTCAAGCTGAAATAAACTTTTAGAAGAAAAGTCATTTGTTTTACTTTTAGATATACAGTTAGAGGTACCTTTATTTCTGCAAGAAAACTTATAAGCTGGGCATGGTGGTGCATGCCTGTAATCCCAGCCACTAGGGGCTGAGCCAGGTGGACTACAAATTCACAGCCAGCCTAAACAACTTGACAAGATCTCAAAATTAAAAAAGAAACATCAGCCGGTGTGGTGGCACACAGCTGTCATCCCCTAAATCTGGGAGGCGGAGGCAGGAGGACTGCAAGTTCAAGCCCAGCCTGAATGATTTGGCAAGGCCCTGTGTCGAACAGAGAAACAGACAGGCCGGTGGACAGCTCAGCATGAGGGCCGTGGGTTCAGTTCCCAGTACGGAGAAGAGCAATCAGAAGCTGAAGCGCGTCCAGCGGTAACTCACAAGGGAACAGAAGCAAGTGAACGGAAGTCAGCGAAGGCCGCGCAGTATGTAAAGCACCGTTTCACGCCGCGTGATCGAGGCCTTACCCGTGAGCCCCACTTTCTTTCTGCACATGAGACAGCGGTTCTTCTTCTGTTTTGGTTTTTCAAGGGACTTGTTTTGCTCTTCAGACGGTTGTGCTGTGTCTGACGCTGAAGCTGACAAAAACAGGAAGATGAGAAAGTATAATTACTCGGTAGGACTTTTTTTGGTACTGGGGATTGAACTCCTGACCTCATGCTTGCCAAGCAGGCCTGTATCCCTGAGCTAAATCCGCAGCCCCTATTGGGTGAGATTTTGATGCCGGGTAGTGACCATCCCTGAACCCACCCTGCCAATCTACTACTGGGTAACTGAGGACTTTATTTACTAGAATGAACAGATGTTTGTGAGTCACAAAGTTGTTTATAAGATGACCCCTTTGTGTATAAGTTTTTGTACATGTATGCATACACATCAGAAAGCCTAAAATAGATAACTGACATGGGATCAGTGACTAGAAGACAGATTACAGATTTTCTGCTTTTGGGTTCAACTGTATTTTCAGATTTGTCTAATAATCATGTATTTGAACCAAAAGACACACACAAGCACCACCTGAGTGTCCCAATGGAACATGCAAGACAGTAGCCACATGCAAGCTTCTTACTGCTGCTCAGGGGCAAAATTAGATCGATCCCAAAGAGAATAAAATTCTCAGAATGTTTCACATAAAAACATTTAAAATGTGAGGGAAAAGATAAACTGGTGCATAAGATAATAAACTGATACCTGCACAGGCTAAACTCAAGACCACTGCTCCCGTCACTAATGACCCCAGCCCTCCTGAACGCTGTCGCCAGGTCAGAGTGCACAACAGGGTCGCGCTGATGAGACGCCTGGCTCTGAAACAGCCAGGGCCTGGCCTGGGTTCTTGACCTCGCCGGCTTCGGCACCCTCCACCCTCCCAGGAAGCCCTGCAGAGCTACCCGTGCTGCGGGCCGGCCGAGCACCCTTCCCCTTCACACTCTGCAACACACTCCAGAGGGCTCTCCTTCCTCCCACTGAATCTGAGTTCCCTCACAGCCAGGATAAAAGCCCCTGCCTTCCTCCTCACTGGGGCTCGCCCAGTCCCTGGGCACTTCCCTGAGCCCCTCCCTCCTCAGCCCACACTTCCACTCTGCACAGCGTCTGCCACAGTGCGTTATGATGACGTCTGCTCCGACTTGGCCTCCTGTACCCCTTCCTTCGGGACCACCCTCGTCCTTCTGTCAAGTCAGGCTCATCGTTCCCCAAGGAGAACCCACACTTCTGCCTGGACACCCCCTCCTCTCACTTCAGGGCCCTCATGGTGCTGCTCTCCACGTGGAGACCCAGGCCACCCCACGTGCTTCTACCTTTGTGTAACTGCCTGGCTGCACTGCGCTTCCCTCGGAGGGCAGGAGCCTGCCGCTCCATCACCATCCCCAGGTCCTGTCTTGGCGCCTCTGGCCACTCAGTAACGGATTTGTGAGGCAAGTAACTGAGTTACACACCTACTGCGTTTGTGAGCCCTGACTCCCCAGCTACACTGTAAGCTCGCTGAGGACCAGATGGCATCTGTGTGAATCTGCAGCACTCCATGAACTGCGTGAAGCAGATGCTCAAACATTTGCTTTCCAGAAGTCCCTGACACCTGAAAATCCGCGCTGCGGACTTTTACAGGTATGATCAGACCTCACACTGGGAACATTCCTCAATGGGAACATACTGGAGAAGCAGCTCATGTGTCCACTGGGCACTGTCACAGTGAACACTGGACAGCAGGACAGTGCTCAGAGTTCGGAAGCACAAGGAGAAGCGTGAAGCAGACGGGTGTAGGAGGCGCCACGCTCTACATCCTGGGTGTCTGTGGCAAGGGTGTAGAAGACTTTGTTGGACTTATGACGGAGTTAACTCATGAACGTTCTCCTGGAACAGAACTCATTGTAGGTGGAGGCCTTACTGCAGTGTATTCCGACTTGCTTATGCTGAGACATTATCCCGCATCTTAAAATGTAACACTGGGCAAAACGTTACAAACAGTAAATAGAGAACTGCACCGGAGAACTGCACTGGGACATCCTGACGCTAGACGAGAGAAGTTCTAGTAATATAAACACTGGATTTTTGACATACAATACGGACACATAAAACCTTTTATCTTCATCTTTCACAAACAAATATTCCTAGAATATGACCTTCACGAGGGCAATGGCTCAGTGTCAGGCTCCTGCTATAGCTCAGGCTGGCCTCACACTCAGCGACCCCCCGCTTCAGCTCCCAAGTGTGGGATTACGGGCACACACCACCACCGCTGGCTTCAGGTTCAGTGTCCTGCTCACCATTATCCCCAGCCCCAGAATAACATCAAAGAAAGCTTGATGTGTACAGAACTAAAAAAGTTTAACCTGCTGTAAGGAATCAATCTGTTACATTTATTGTCTGCTTTAATGGCACTAACACTATTTTAGGTTTTAATATATGTGAAATAATATTAAATATAAAGATTTTAACATATTCAGTATTTTTATATATGTCACAGTTTGTATGAACCACAGGTTTTAGTGGGTATTAAATTTTACATACATACGCACGCGCACACACACACACACACACACACACAAACTGCCTTGATTACTGGGATACTGAGATATCGACATACCTGGAAACGAGGGGAGGGGAACGACATGGATCTGCTCTGTATACAAATTCTATTACGTCCCTTCACAACGCTGACCCTAAATCCTACGGCAGATGGATTCTTTCTAACGGAGGCAGACACTATCCAAGCTTGTAAGCTGCTCAGATTTGGGAACAGCAAATCTCAAGTAATTCTAAGATTAATAATTCAATCTTTCAAAAAGCCACATAATGGATGAGATTAGATTTTTACTAATGAAAGTTAAAACCAAAATAAAGGGTTTCTTTGGAACTCAGTGGTTTTTCCTATTTGGAACTGAGAACTGAAAGGAGTGCCTGCTGGTTAATAATTAAGAACGGGCAAATCCAGTGTCCTCAGAGCCTGTCTAGGAGGCCTCTGGTACAGCACGCGGGCTACCAAACCAACTGCGCGGAGCCTCCTGAGTTCATGTTTAATGGGAACCTGTGTGGTAGAGCCCGCTGGCCACCGCTGTCGGACACCCGAGTGTCACTGTGCAGGGAAACGGCTGGCTCAGCTACCCGTGCAGAGGGCACAGAGGAACAAGGCCCTGGTCTAGGCCCTGTAAACAGAAGAGAAAAGAAAACAAAAGGGAGGGAGGGAAGGAGGAGGGAGAAAAGCAAGAAAATACAGACAGTGCTAACAGGCTGGGCTACAGCTGCGCGGCACACCGCGGCTTGTCAGGGGTGAGGTCGTGAGCTTCATACCCGGTACCAAACAGACAAAAGAAAGAAGAAAGTACCTAAAAAAGCACTGCCCCCCTTTGGGGCATATTTATATACATGGCGACTAAAATAAACGTGATGGTATTAACAGGTAACCCCCAAACATTACTGTGCAACTTAATACATGGTACGCCTTCTTCAAAGAGTCTTGCCAAGACTCTTCATTCATTCAAGAATCAGACTAAGATTTAGCACTGTCCTCCCCACCTTCTTCTTACTGCTACTGCCTAGTAACTTTTAATACGTATGAAGTGGACAAAGTTATTATTTTCCACAAAAATAAGGTTCAAAAGGGGTGTGTATCAAGATACAAAAACGGCCAGGCGTGGTGGCGCACAGCTGTAATCCCAACACTGGCAGGCTGAGGCAGGAGGATTGTTCAAGACCAGCCTGAACTGCACAGCGAGACCCTGTCTCAGAAAGACAAAAAAAAAAAAAAAAAAAAAAAACAAGATACAAAAACAGACTCCTAAACCCATATTCTTTTTAGTGTGATCTAAGATCAGAGGGACTGAGAGGTCAGTCAAAGTTAGTCAAAGTCAAAGTCAAAGCCACTCAAAGTGTTTAACAATGCAGCCAATCAAGCACAATAGTGTACAGGACACCAAAACACTCACGTTTTGTAGCTTTTATGAACTGGAAATCAGTCATACATTGTTAAGTAACACTGCTATTATTTGAAAGTAAAAACCTCAGTGATGAACATGCTGCAATGTGCTAAATTCTCATTTAAACATGAGAATGATTCTTCAGAGCCACGAGGCAAAAATGATAGCAGTATCACCCACCTGGGGGCAGCGTATGCTATTATCAGAGGATCAGCAGAACACACACAAGGAAGTATCGGGGTGAAAACCCAATACACAACCTCAGGGGCGGCTGCACCGAAACGGCTTCCCTGCTGGAGGCTGGGTACCACCTGGAGACTAAGAGGCGGCGGAGGAGGAGGAGGAGGGCGCAGCGATGTGTCACCAAGCACGCACACGCACATACCGCAGGCCACAAGCTGCGCCGTACGGGACAGAACACGGGCCTGCAGGCAGCGCCTAGGTCGTAGCAAGCACAGGACCGAGTTAGAGTTTTTTTCCTTTTCATCTGTTTATTAAATAGATGAAAAAAACCCTCCTCTGGATTTGTTAATTATTAAACAGAAATTAGGCATACTTGTGCATGTGCACATATACATTTGTATTTGTGTGTTTATGATAAAAGCAAATATTCTTAATTCAACAATGTATGTTAAAACTGTCTTTAAAACACCAGACTAAGAGATTTTAACCACTGAACCCTAATCTTGCTCTAAACTCAGTGGAAGGCGAAACACCGCCTGGGCTGTTGAAGATTCTGCCAGGCTGAAATACTGAAGGCGAGGGTGTGACGGTACACTACGTTAATGCTGATTTAATCCACAAGTCATTCACTCATGAATGAAAACAGGAGTCCGGACTTGTAAACACTCATTTTTCTTTACAGTGTCAGGGTGTCTTTTTAATTCACACACTCAAGGCTATTGGAAGAGACTGTAATATTCTGTAAACACTGGTGCTGGAAGTACTTCCGATTACTGGCTCATTCACCTTCCCATCTTTATTTTTTGTCGACTGTATAACAACAGCTATGGTATCCTCAAATGTCATAAATTAATTTTCAGTCAATGCTTTTTTCTTGGTCTTCCTGAGGCAAGGTTTTGGTAAGCAGTTCAGGCTGGCTTTAAACTCACAGCAATCCTCCTGCCTCAGCCTCCAGAATGCTACAGAACGTCCCAGCAATGCTTTTAAATTTGTTCAGTCATGAGATGCATGTAATATTTTCATGATTAGCAGCCTGCTTTCTTGTTTCTCAACTTGCCTCTCACTCTGCTACTCAACCTGTGGTTCCCCATTTCCTTTGTCTGTGTGGCCTGAAACCGACTGGGCACTTGACGCTGGTTCACCTGCCTGCCTGGGCGGGCTCAGGGATCAGGCCCGATACTGACTGCATCTAAAGAAGAGCACTCTCAGCTCTGAAACCTGATGACTTTACCTTACTCTAACCACACTGCCCTCCGCTGTCTGAAGCTAAGTCACTCCACCGTCAGCATGAGGGACGCGACGGCTTAGACGCTGCCTCTCCTCTCGCCTGCAGTGGCTCACGGGTCCCTGACCTGACTCCTGTTTACCCTTTAAACTCATCCCTCATCTTTCCCCATCAGTTTCCTTTTTAACTAATAATAAAACTTGTGTGTGCACCTACAGTATTTATGAATTTCTAATAATATGCCATGTAAACTACTATATTTATATTGGTCACATAATCTACAGGCTTGGCATGGCAAATTATGTCAAGTATTTGTTGGGCATGAAATAAACCTAGGGGGATTGGCCAGTTTCTGCACATGTCCACCACATGAATGCCACTAATGGTCGGGTCACTGGCCAGGGCATCGTGTCTTTATGCCATGTGGTGGGCAGAGTGATGCACGCTCCTCTTTGGGCTCTGGCTTTCCGTAGTGTCTCTCGGCCAGCACACGGGAAAACATGGCTCAGCAATGGAGGCGCCCTAACAGCCTCCTGCACGGGCTCCTCTGCTGCCTCTCACTAAGGCCTCAGTGTTCACAGGGACTTCAGTTCACACCCTCTTAGACCAATCTGACCCAAGGAGTGGGTCATACACTGCACAGGGAAGGACACAGGGTCCTAAGCTGTGAACACAGGGAGCTGACAGGACCTGCCAGCCAAACATAACAATCTCCCCAAATAATCAGGCAAAGACGCACAAGAACCAGGTTCCTGCAAGCTGGAAGTCCCAGTTTGCTTAGATAAGAAATATTTCTTAGATTTAACTGACCAAAATAATGAAAGAGAACAGAGTCACACCACACACAGTCATTTGATTACAGTTTTCAAGCAGAACAAAGTTTGAGTTTTCTGTTTCTGCTGATGCGCATGTTTTAAAGGGAAAGTGTCTGCTTCCCATTTAACACACTGCTATCCTGTTCATAATGAAAACCTAAACGCATGTGTTTAAGCATTTGATCTTTTAGGCACCACCGAGGCTGCAGTCGGCTTACAGCACTGAGTGCTGATAAAGGAAGCACACGCCGGTGCAGACACAAACCTTGCAGCTCTTCGGTTTCGGGCGCTGCTTTGTCCACAGACGTGCCGTCCACCGGTGAGGATGCTACAGACTCAGGTAACAGTGGCTGACTTGATACAGAGCTAGAAAAGCAAAATATTTCAATTCTGTAAAATAAAACGTCATTGTTTATCTTTACTGTTCTTGAAAATATCTTTCTGTGGGACAGAACTTCACTATTTGCTCCCACTTGTCTTTACGGTCCGGCTCGTGAGCCTCCCGCCGCACCTTCCCTAGCTGCTGTGCTGTGAAACCCTCTATACCAAAAGGGCATCCCCGCGTGTGAGGACTTTTAGGCTTTTGTTTCACTTTATTAGTCCATGTCTGCAGCACACAATGATTACACTCACTGCAGGGAACTGGTACCTGTACACAACACATTTCAAGTCACCCCCCCAGCCCTTCTATTTTTCTAGATTATCTATCTCATAAGACCATACAGGCTTAATTATCATATACACAGATTGAAAACAAGACTCACAGGCCAAAGAACAGAAAACATTTAAGAACACAGAAGACAAGTGTACTAAGTTAGGCACACTTTCTTTTGAGACAGATTTTGCTGTGTAGTGCAGGCTGGCCTTGAACTTGCTTATGTAGCCCAAGATGGCTTCAAATTCATGACAATCCTCCTGCCTCAGCTTCCAAGTGCATCAAGTTATACTTTCCAATACACGGTCTTCACTGGATCATAAAACCTGTTTTTCTTCCTCTCTTTCCTACTGTCTTTTATTTCACACTTTGCATAAATAAATAAATTTTTATATAAGAGAAATCTTGCGTATTTATTTACACTCACACATCTGAGTCACTTCATCCCACATGTGAACATTAACAGACAAATAATAAAAGAGGTGACCTGAGTGCGTCAGTACAGTCCACAGAGGCCGCTGTCTCAGACGCTCCTGTTGCACTGTTTTCCACACTCTTAGGAGCAGGTCTGAAAGTGCTTTTTCCTGACTGTGGCTTTTTTTTGGTACTGGGACTCGAACTCAGGACCTTGTGCTTGCCAGGCAGGTGCTTATGCCACTGAGCTATATCCCTGGCCCGAGGCAGTTGTTTCTACAAAATCATAGAGCTTTGAAGCTAGAGAGGAATGTGGACCAGGAATCTATGCTTTGGAAAGAAAGCAACAGTGCATTTCCTTTGTGCATTTTAAGCACCACATGAAAAGCAGCACGAGAAAGAATGTTTACGCTTCCAGTCCCGGACGCAAAGCTGCAAGTAAAAGCAGACCTCGCCGCCGTGACCTGGAAAGTGGAGCCGCGTGCAGAAACTGCACTGTCAGTGCACTGGTCACTAACAGAACACAACTAAAACATGTGCTTCGGTACACAGCCTTTTAACTGGTTCCAGAGTTAAAGCATAAATAAAACAGACAGGACTGCTGTATCACGGCACTGAAAACAACAGCTGACAGGACCTTGCTGTAAGATGCGACACAGTAATTCTTACCAAGACTGTAATTTAAGAGTTGACTCACTGTGCGGCTAAGGACTTCAGGTATGGGTCAGGATACGGTATGAGGAACAAAGACAAAGACGGTCGTAAAGGAAATCAAAGACTTAAAAGCTCTCCCAACATAAACACAGTGACCCAGACACACACAGTGGATTTGCTCATGGGGCTCTACAGTCTCCCCACAGACCTCCACGGAACGCCACCCCGAGCCCACCTTACCTTGGCTGCACAGAAGAAGATGCAGAGGCCAGTGCTGACGGAACCTCTGGGACGCTGCCCTCTGTGCACTGAGCTGGTAACGATTCAGACAGACTGCTGACAGAAGCCGCTGCAACAGTACCAGGTCATGTTAGCGAGTCCACAGGCTAGCCAGCCAAGACCTGATCTAAGAAAATGAAATCAACTTCCCACAATATACGGGATAGGATTCCACCTTTCTGTGTCTGTTAGTTCATGCATTTTATTTATTATTTTTTTTTAAAGGAACCTTGGGTCTTCACAGTCAGCTACATCTCCAGGCCCTTTTTAAATTTTTATTTTGAGACAGGGGCTCACTAAGTAGCTACGTTGCCCAGGCTAAACTCTAACTTGTTTTCCTCTTGCCTCAGTCTCCCAGAGTGCTGGGCTTCCAAGCACGCACAACCATGCTTGGCTTGTGTCATTACTTTTAGTTAAAATCTTTGTAATACGGTAATACAGTGAATTCGCTTTTCTGATGCTGGGGATTGAATCCAGGCCCTCAGAAGAGGCTCTACAACTGAGCTATACCCTTAACTCAAAAAATGTTAAACACCTATTTTTCTAGTGTTTTTTTATTTTCTTTCTTTGCCTTTCTTTTCTTTCACCCTTTCCTTTCTTTATCTCTGGAAAAAATGTGAACCAAGAAGAGAACCATATTTATAAACTGCATATATTAATAAACTAAATTTCCACTTAGGACTATCACCCAAACTCCAAACTTTTAATTCACAAACATTTCTCAAATCTCAGTGTACAACTGAGATGTTTAAAATAAAAGACAAATTTAGCTGAACTTACAATCAGTTTCGTAAAGAACGAATACATTAGGTTGTACTCTACACTTCATAAGACACAAAAGGTAGACAGTTGCTCAGTACAAAAACAACCCATATTTGTTTGACCTTAGCTGTAAACAAATTCTGAGATTTTGATGAAATATTTACATATTTTTACTTGAACATGAAATAAGACTCCATGTAATTTAAATGAACTAAGTAACAACTTGTACTTTTATTAACCTACACATAGGTATGAACCTATATTAAAACTATCCTACCTGAGTAACTTCGACACTTTTGTTTAGCAAGCCTTGCACTCAGGATCTTCATGACTTTCTTACATAACTGCTCAAACAAAAGACCACCTCGGTTCCAGGACAATCCTTCCACAGAGAGAGGCGCGAAACACCCAGGCGAATGAGTGCGGCACACTGCGGAGGTGCCCCCGGCACCCCTCCTTCCTCAGGGCCAGCTGTGGCTATGTGCAACCCGCCTCGTATCCAGACCGCTTTCCCTCAACGGCTGCCCCTGCATGCAGAAGTCACCTCACAGCTCACGCTCTTTACTGTCAAGACAGCGGCATTAACTGGGGGTGTGCCCCTGGGCTTTTTTAATAAGGTGATGAGAGTTCCTATGGCGAGGGGAGGAAGAAGGACTTCACCGTATTCACGAAGCGCAGGGGCAGCCTTACTTCTGCCTCCCCACTACTGACCATCACAATGAGAGCGAAGAAACTTCACTGCGAGGAAGGTGGTAATGCAAACACAACGTGAGAGCAGAGAGAGGCACTGGGCTACCCGAATCCGATCCACGTCTGAACACACTCACCGGGTGGGCTGATTCTGCCACTACTGCTGTTCTGTCGCTGGAGATGTTCTTTGTAGCAGACTGAACACATGCCGTTCGTACGAGGGTTTCCGTAAAATCCGCAGCCAGTGGAACACAGCATAGGCACTTGGCTGTGATTTGTTTCTTGAGCCATGTTCCTCTGGGGTACACCTGCAATCTAACAGAATTAGCAAGTAACCCAGGCGGCTCAGCTGCACACTACCCAAATCTCTCCTAACAGAGGACCCCTTGTTACGCTTCTCTCACACCACTTCATGTACTGACCAAGAACGGGCTGACAAAGACCCAAACTTCCACCGCCAGCTTGCTCCACACAGAGCACTGGCCTGACTCAGAACGCAGGAGGCGAGACTGAAAAGTACAGTTTACGTTCACCTTTAAAACCCTGTCATGTAGAAAGACGTTGCCTCCAAGTTCCCCTCACTTGTCCCTCCATCCTCCCGCTTTCTGAAGCAGCCCTGGCGCGGCTGCCTCAGCGCCCTGAGCCTGACAGGGGACACGCTGCTGGTCTGCAGCCCGCCTGCACACAGTGGACAGGACCCCCGGCACGTTTCTGTGACGCTGTCTGTTCACTGGATGGCAGTTAGCGGCAGTATCCACTTTATTTTTTCTTAAACCTTACGAAGAAATGAAAGATCTCCAGGAAGGGGCAAAAACGATGGGAATACACACTTCAGCAAGGGGGAAGTATTTAAGGGAACCTGTGTGCAGCACGTGTTGGGTCTTGCTTCTTGATCCATTCTGTTGGTCTGGGTCTTCTGACTGGTGAACTGAGACCATTAACATTGATGGTTATAAATAATATGTACTAACTTGTCCTTGTCATGTTATTTTCCTGTTATTGGCTCCCGCTTTTTTGAGGGGAATTAATGATAGTGTTTGTTATAAATAAAAAATTTACCATATATTTTGATCCTCCCTGCAAAAGAAATTTCTAGAGAAAGGGAGCTTTTTTGAAGCTTGCATGATCCAAAAGTTAAGGACAACTCTTAGTCTCATTCAACTTGACACTCTTCTAGTATGAGAAATACACATTACAGAAATACACACTGTTGGGGGCCGGGGATTTAGCTCAGTGGCATAAGCACCTGCCTTGCAAGCATGCAGTCATGAGTTTGATCCCCGGTACCAAAAAAAAAAAAAGAAAAAGAAAAAAAACCCCACACTGTATAACACTTAATTTCTAACCATTTAAATTTTTACTCAAAGTTCAGATGGTAACTTGTGCAACTGTTTTTAAAAGCATTTAACATAATATTGACTCTGGTGCCGAAGATTTGGAGAGCTGAGCAAAATTCTAGCAAAATGAGCAATCAGTTCAATTACTTGGAAAGCAATTTAGCAATTCACCTCAAGAGCCCAGTGAACAAATATTGTTCTCTGAACCGCCATTCTCCTTTAAGAATCTGCTGTAGAAAAACTAGAGTACAATCAGAAAAAGAGCAAAGGATATACTTCACACTGTATTTATACAGCTGATAAGTTAAAAATAACCTATCCGTCCAACACCAGCAGAATGGACTTATTAAAATTATGATACATATTAATGACAAAAGTTATGCAGTTGTTAACATTTTAAAATAATTTCTGATGGAAAAATGCTGGTAACAACTGAAATAATGGGGCTGGGGATATAGCTCAGCAGCATAAGCACCTGCCTGACAGGTGCAAGTTTCTGAGTTCGAATGCCAGTACAAAAAATTGAAATAATGGTATGCATACATATAAACATATATGTTAATTAAGACTAAAAGAGTATCAAAAGGAGTCACCAAAAAGGGCAGCAGAGATCATATCCCATGATTGCAGAAGTAATGATTCTTTTTCCTGATGTGTACCTTTACAACCATGAAGACGCATGCATTCTTTGCATGCTTGCTAAATTGGGGAGAAAATTTATTTTTTAAGTACCTAAAATCTTAAAAACTAAAATTAAAAACTAACGAGGCAGAAGCATCACCAAGTCTGTGGTGCTGAAACTCAGGAGCTGCCTGGGAGCCCCACGAGGGCCATGATCATCGCAGCAGACACTGTGTGCCACCTCCCCCATGACTCACAGGACAGACAGAACTAACAGGCTCCCCTTTACTTAAAGACCCCCCTCCCGCCTCCTAGAGGCAGGGTGTTCCAGAATGCGGGAGTGCGTGTTACGGACAAGTCTGTGCTGTGGCCCAAGATCATTAAGAGTGAGACTAACTAGAGGAGGGAAATGTTTTGCTACTGAAATTCTCTGAATGGATAAAAATGAAGGGAAAGCATTCCTTGTTTACTGTTTCCAGATTTTTCTTCAAAATTGTTACAAAGATGTTGGAGGTGGGGAGAAGTTAACACAAATTTCAGGACAATGCCTATAAGTACCCCAGATCACAAAGCGGTGATGGTACAGCAAAGCCATGTTAAGTCCCTTCTCTTTTTGGCCTATGGTCTTGAGGGATCCTGGTCTGTAGCTTCTCTCTTCTGACTGTCCACTTCATAAAGCTAATTAATCAGTGATGGAGCTGGGTTCAGTCCAAGCAGTCTGACTACAGCGAAGTCCACGATCAAGCCAGCGGTTCTCAAGGTGTGGTCCGCAAGCCCTGTGGGCTTTCAGAATAACACTAACAAGCTGTTTGCCTTTTTAACAACCTGACACACTGTGGTACGAGAGTAGTGGTGGATAAGACGGCCGGAGCCTAACACAGAGCCCACCAAGGTGACGGCACCAAGCAGCACCGGGAGGCGCGCTCTTCACCACGTCCTTTTGGTGAAAAGCATTAGTTTAAGTCTTGTCATGTATGCAGCACTTTATTACACAGACAGAAATGACAACTGTATAACGAAAAACTGCTTGGGCAGCTGCTGAAACCCTGAGCTGGCTGAGCCATCCTTTTCATGGGACATTTTCATGTGAAAGAGTGACTGACAGTCTAGTCATTTCCATGAACCACATGACGGACACGCTCCTGAAAACGAACAAAGAGACCTGAGAGCCCAAGCCGATCAAAGCATTCGTCACGACGGGCAAACGTCCAAGCACTGAATCGAGACGAAGGGTGATGGGTGCCCAAGAGTCGAGTGTTTTTGGTGAGATGAGTAGGGACAGGAACGAAATGTGATCAGAAGATACTAAATCGACATTTGAAAGATCTTCACAAGTCAATAAATATTATCTTCCAAGTACTCAATGTTGGAAACTTCACAATTATTCATGAATGAAAGATCTATTCAAAGTGAAAGACCAATGAATGATACCAATCGTAAGATAAAACAAGGATAATTTAAGAAACCACCAATTCTAGTGTATCAAAGAACCACCACCCGCATTATCTGAACACACTGTTAAGTTACTGTTTCTAGGGCTGGGAGTTTAGCTCAGTGGCACAAGTGCCTGCCTGGCAAGCACAAGGTCATGAGTTCCACCCCTGGTACCAAAAAAACCAAAAAAGCAAACAAAAAGATGCTGTTTCTTTTTCCAGCTAGGCACGAGCCCAGATTTTCTTTGCCTTTTCTTTCTTTTTTAGCAGAGCTGTGGTCTGGACCTTGGGTCTCAAGAATGCTAGGTAAGATCTCCACGCCTAAGCTACATCCCCAGCTCCAGATTCTAACACCGTAACAGACAAAGCAGTAGTATGAGAATCGTGCTATTAAGTCTGAACTGAAGGAGATCTGTGGAAACGTGTTAAAGATGCCACTCAACATTAAAGAGGTGTGTGTATGAGAGGGGGAATATATTTTCCATAAAACCTTTTAAAACTAGTAAGTAATTTTTTCACAGCTTCATCTGTAATATAATAAATAGCACTAGAAATAATCCTCATAAACAAAAGCTTTTCAGGGTTTTCACTAATTTTAGAGAACTAAGATCCTGAAACCAAAAAAATTTTAAACACTTTGCTGCAAAATGTGCATTCTCAAAACAGGCAATGCCACCACCAAGAGGGAAACACTGATTCTTTGAAAAGGAAAGGCACCAAAAACCCCGTCTTTTATGTATAAAACCACAAACAGTGTAAGAGATGAACAGATGCACAATACCACCGATGGATTTAAATTTGTATAGAAGTAGGGACTAGTTAGAAAAACAGTTTAAAAAGGTTCCTTGGGGTGACAGGTAATAAAAAAGCCTAAACCATCAATTATACTGGGTTCCCTCTTAATAACATTAGAATACAACAAGATAGGAATTAAGGAAGCTTCACTACTGACACTGAAAATCTTTCAGTATTATGGCTGTCAATCACAAATACCCAGACATAATCAATATTCTACTTGTAGAAAAACTCAAGTACAGGGCAGGGGTTTAGCTCAGCAGTGTAAGTGGCTGCCTTGTAAGTGCAAGGTTGTGACTCTGATCTCTCCTATCACCAAAACACAAACGAGCAAACAAAACCCCCCCTCAAGTACAGTAAACTGTTGTACATAAACATAACACAATACTTACTTGAAAGGAGATTAAAATTCAAAAACATGTTAAAACGACTAATTTTCCCAAGCTAAACTTTCTTGTACAGCAGTAAATTAACAGTGATTTTTACAACTCCAGAGGCACAAAAGAGTTCATGAACAACTGAAAAAGAACTGACCTTACTTACTTATCCTTAGGACACAAAGTACACCTCTGCATGGAGAGTCAGAACGATCACAGGCAGTCAGAGCAGTAAGCCTATGAGTGTGTGCTGGCCCAGGTGGGGTCGCAGACCAGCTGGAGTTCTGCTTCCTCCCCTTAGCGTGCCATCTTTCCGTGAGTAAAGAAGGCACCAGGCACCAGGCAGGTGCCCAAATGACCACGGAGGCAGAACAATTTCTTAATTGCTGTACTGTGTAATTCTGAAACTGTAAATCCAACACAAAGAGTAAAAACACCCTACCAGACATGTGCACTATATCAAAAAGGTATTAAGTTTATGAAGAGAATTCATAAAACTTGAGTTCTGATTCATAATCAGGACATTAGCCCTTCTAGTTCAGTAAAAAATACTCAATACTTACCCAGTTTACTATGGGACAGGAACTATCTTTATTGTTTTAATTTTTTACTTTAAAGGAAATAAAAACAATGAGAATAAGATTGACAAAAACAATACAGTAGGAAATCTACAATAGTTACTATATTGCATACTGTTACCCTCTAAATAGATGCTCAGAATACTGGCTGTAGGTCTGCAGAGTCAATCAAAC